ATAGGTACTTACCTCCCCTCACATAAATAGCCATTCTCATTCAGTGCTGCCCTCTATATGCAAAATAATTTTTCACATGCCACAAGCTTTGACATTCCCACCAATCTGGAATTGACTGATTTCAATGCATCTTGCATGCAAATTATCATGTGACAACCCTCCATCAATAAGAGTGTGACATACTTTCTTGACACGTGACTCCCTCTATTCAATTCTACCAAACTATCACTTCAAGTTTAGGCAGAAAAATGAAGCACCAGTTTTCAGTGGGGAGGAAGGGTGGAGGTAAGTACATTTTCAGTACAGGAAAATACGGCACATTATCTCTGCTCATAAAAATATGTAGAATCCCACACTGAAGAGGTGGAGGGACCAGTGCAAGGGAAAGAAAGAAGCATCCTTTGAAAGTGTTCAAGGGACACTCCCAAAGAAATCTTTGGAGTTGAAGATCATATGTTGGAGACCGCACCACTTCTGTATCAGATACACTGTTCACCCATTGTGGAAAAAGGTGCTGCAGGTATGGACGGAAATAGGGATTAACGCTACCCAAAGTAGAAATTGGGAGATGATAGTATGAGGTATAGTCCCAATGCTTGACAGACAAAGTACCTCCAATGGACGACAGGTTTGATATGCAGAGAAAAGGGAACGTGCATAATCAGAGTGAAAACACAAGGAATTGATGATGGAAAGAAGGATACAAGGAATAAAAGGTCAATTGAATCACAATCCAAACCCAGGGAGGAAGGAAAAAAATTTCACAGACAAAGCAGTGGAGTAAGTGAAGAAAATCATGAGAAACATATTCAATGGAAAACAACTTTGAAAACAATGAAGCAGCCCCAAAGCACGTACTGGACTGACAAGGTTATTTGAAACCAACCAAGAAGAAATGCGAAAGAAAGAAACAGAAAAGTTGAAAGGAATATACCATGACCCATGAAAATATAGGCTAATAAAACCAATTCAGAACCAAAGAAACAATCGAGTGAAAGCAGCAGAGAAACCAAGACTTGTGTCAGCCAAGAAATCAATCAGAAAGACCTAAACTGGAGTGACATCGATGAACAAACATTTTGGGAAAAAAAATGATGGAAAGAGAAAAAAACTAACATTATAAACTGGATGTAATACTGTTTGAATATATCAACAGCCAGGGCAAGTGAATGATGAAATACAGACCAAAATCAAAAGAGGTTATTACCTATGAATTAAAAAAAAAACTTCACATGGAGGAGTAGCCCACAAGAGGCAGGGCTACCAAAACTTTGGAGGATTGAGAGGTCACTCCTTGGGAGATAATATGATGGGACTAGAAAGTCAATCAGCAATGAGAATAAAAATACCTGGAACATGACCCTCCAGGAGACATATGTTAAATGTGTGGGTTCAAAAAGGGAGATCCACTGTCGATCACAAAAGGCACAAGAATGAACATCCCCTTGGTGAATGATAGACACCACCACCACCATGAAATAGATGAAATGAAACGTGATTAGTCAAATCCAGACAAAATGAAGAGAGTAAACAAAAGCAAACTGGACTGGTGGAATTGCTAGGGTGCGAAGGGAATAAGATCTTTCACCTGGAGACCATAGTCCTGAATCCTCCTACTGATCGAACAACATCCCCAACCACTAGAAATGAGAATCAGAGAAGAGAAATAATCCAGAAGAGGTGGATGAAGCAGGAAATCTGACGTTGTAGGGGCTATCAACACATACAGACAAAGAGAGAAGGAAGAGAATTAAGTTGAAAATCAAAGAGATGGTCCCGATGGAAAGGTATTTAAAAATACCCACCACAAAGAGATAATAATGTGAGGTATGGAACAGGAAAAACATATCCAACTGGAAAATCCAACTACCCAATCTGACTGTGGAAGGAGTATCCGAGTATGTTAAGACTACCTCCGTTTGGAAGGAGTTAACCAAAGCTTCACACCCAATGAATGGTGTAGATAAATCCCCCAAAATGTGGAAGTCGGATAAAATGCAGACCACCCCACAAAAGACATATGGTACTGAAACAAGCCTAAAAGGTGAGGCAGGAAACTGGGACTGAATCACTTGGTGAAATAACCTAAGATAGTGTCCCAAAAATAGGAAAAATAAGAATGCGTACTATGAACATTCCTAGACATGCAGAAATATCAAACCCAAATATGACCAAATACTACACATGAAACTGGAGAAGACCCGAGAAGTGATTGAGGCGGGACTTATCAATCCCGAACATCAAACAGCACTGAATACAAGAACGAATGGAGAAAACACACAGTTAGAACAGGTAAAGGATGGGAAATTGCCAGACATGTAAAAGAATAAAGATGACAATATCTCAAAATGAAACAAAAAGCAACAAAAAAATTGGGTATAGCATGGCATATACCCCATGTGATGCTAAGCATATAGTTGGAGCCCCAAAAAATGGACTGGTAGAGAAAGAGATCTGACCGTAAGTCCCTATTAACAGTGGATGGTAGACAAACAACAGTGTCTCATCCAATAAGATCCCAAAAGGAAAGAAGCCATGTGTGGACAGAAAGAACTGAAGATGGCAAACTCCTTAACATGTTGGGAAGAAAGAGGAGGTATCCCATGAAAATTCATAAATATGAGTGGAACACCTAAAAAAGGAAGTGGAAGGTAAACATTACCTGTAGGAGAGTAGATAGGGTAATACGAAGCTGAAAAACAAGGTAGGGGAGGAAATAGATAGGATTAACAGAGATACAAAGGACTTAAAACCAAGAAAAAAATCTGTCTGATGGTAAGCTAAGGCAAAAGAGACGAAAAGATCATCAAGAAAAAATGTCAGGAGAAGGGAAATATACTGTAAAATGTGTCTAAAACAAAAGCCTAGCAGATTCTGCAGTAAAGGCCTGGAATGTAATCCATGATAAGGAGGAGGTAAACTGACAAAATCTGGGCCAACTGAAATACGTTCAACTATTATAGGAGGGAGGTGAGTAATATTGGGAGCAGGTAGGGTGGACCCCAGTCCCTAGAGGTCCACACAAACAAAATTAATGGTAAGAAGTATAAATTATAAATCAAACAAAATCAATTATATCTTATATAAGAAATGTGGTATTGAAAGAAACATATGTAATGCATGTTATGTGTTGAAGAATGACAAACTAGTTAACCTAACTAATGATTATTTCGGAAGTATAACCCCAGGTAAACCTAAATTAGCAGATAATTGTTAAGACTAGGCTAACAAGATTCTTAACTTAATTAGCAATTAATCTGCAAGTAGAAGTACAGGTAAACCGAAAATAACAGGCATGTGTTAAGTCAAATCAAACAGTGTAGGACAAAGGATATCACTAAGCTCTAAAATAAAAATCTTATCCTAACAATAAGTACAATAATAACAAAAATGAAATAAAAAGAATTTATAGAATGAAATAAGTGTGTATTAACAATAACCTATGTATGAGACATGATGTCTGAAAAAAAAAACAATATAGTTAAATGAATGATTGATATACCAGTAAGATGAATTACAGGTAATCCTAAAATAACAAATACCCCTAGTATCAGTGGTATAGGAGAATGGATATAACTAAGCCTAATTTCTAGCCTGAACTGGACTATGAATGTCAACCAATCTAACAAAACTTATATAATAGAACTCAAATAACTACAGGTAATAATATTAAAAATAAAATTATTCAAAACTCATAACAATATAACGTGTTATTTTAGCACAGTTAGAGAACTGTATGTCAATATGTGTGAGCCCCAAACTCGAGGCAAGGCTCAACAAAGATCAGTTAATTGGACGATCAATCTCCTGACTAAATAAAGCCGAAAATCTTACCACAGAGTCCCGTGACCTGAAGCCTGTGCAAATGTGCTAATAGAACATATAACCTTCAAAGTGGTAACATAGAATTCATGATGCAAAATGAATAACCAAACACAACTGTGTTAGCAGAAACAAAAAGCTTTTGTAATGAAGTAATAAGTTCCTGACTAAATAAAGCCGAAAATCTTACCACAGAGTCCCGTGACCTGAAGCCTGTGCAAATGTGCTAATAGAACATATAACTTTCAAAGTGGTAACATAGAATTCATGATGCAAAATGAATAACCAAACACAACTGTGTTAGCAGAAACAAAAAGTTTTTGTAATGAAGTAATAAGTTCTGTAACTGAGTAGAAATATAAAATAATTCCACTTTGGAATAACTCAACAAATTACAAATATCATTATTGTATGACAAAAAGTAAACTTGTTGAGAGAAATTAATACAAAGATACAAAAAATTAAAAATAAAAAAAAATGAAGAGAGAGTAGAAACTAAATGCTATAACACGAGTACTGCCAAATGAGAAGTGAGAGTTTGGTAAAATTGAATAGAGGAAGTCACATGCATCAAGAGAGTATGTTGCACTCTTATTGGTGGAAATTTGTCGCATGATGATTTGAATGCAAGATGTATTTGAATCAGTCAATTCCAGATTGGTGGGAGCATCAAGGGTTTTGGCATGGGCAAAGATTTTTTCATATAGGAGGCAGCACTGAACAATAATAGCTATTTATATGAATGGAATGTACCATATCAGAAACAAAGTTGTTGGTAGCTTTACTGGCAGGTGTAATGAAGTATCTACAGTTTCAAAAATCTAAATATTCAGTAACTTATTTTCTATTCATAAATTTTACATTGCCATTAATAGTAAATTTCTTTAAATGCATTAGCCATTTGTAGATTTTGTCTTCAACTCTTTTTACCCATTACTTAAAAAGGTTTACTTTTACGCTTTCTTTTTTACACCTAGTTATATTTTATTAGAGCATAATATTTAAGAGAACTTAGATCTCATGCATCCAAGAAATAAAGTATTGTTTAATTAAAAACAACATCAATCAATTTCACCACAAATTATCTTGGTACCAATTTCATCTATCATGTTGAAATTTTAATGACATTTTTCAAAAAAAGAACTTTTAACTATTTCTAATCTACATATAAATCATACCTTCTGCCTAGAAAATAATGACCAGCCTTCAACAAAATCTGTGGGATCCAACATATACTGAAACGCTATACAAAAACAATAAAAACTTGTATGTAAAAGGTTTTCCATTTTAAAATAATGTTCATGCCTATTATTTACTTTTAATGAGACAATTGAAACTTATACAACTAAACAAATTTACCATAATACTTGTATAATTTTGCTTTACACAAAGCCAATGACAATTTATTCCTTTTACATACATTCCTCATTGTTTTAAATTGGGCCATATCAAGGAATCAAAGAGGCCAACATTTGCAAGTGAATGCAACTTGTCTCCACTATGCAATCCAACAAGACTAATTTTGACACAAAACAATTCATGAAAATATGGAAAAATTTAAAACTGTCTATATCTCTGTTTGGGACCTGCAAAAAGCATCTTTATACCAAATTCTAAATTTGGTCAACACAAGGCTAAGTAATTGACCAAACCCCTAAAATTATGGGTATATTTAACATTATGACCTCCTCCTAATATGACCAAAAATGAACACATCCCATATTTTTGTATTTACATTTTTGAGACCTGTAAAAAAAAAGGTATCTTTGTAACAAATCCCATGTAAATTGGCTGACACACAGTGGAATAATTTTCAAAAACCCTAAAATTATGCTTTTTGTGGTATCTTGACTCTCCTATAATTACTAAAAATAGGCAAATCCACCATTTTAATTTGTCAATGTGTGGGACCTGTCGAAAAGTATCCTGTAAATTGGTCAAAATATGACCGAGTTACAGACAGATGTCTGATACGTATTATTTGTAGTAAAGAATAATAGTTTGCCATAAATCTCAAGTCATCTAAAACCCCAAAATTATGCTTTTTTGTGAGCTCTGACCTCCATAAAAAAATAAATAAAAATTACTCAAAAAGGGCAAATCTAACTTTTTGGAAATAAATGTGTTGGGCACATGAAAATTTATATTGTGCCAACTTGCAACTTCATTGCTGTAAATATGACCATAGGAGCCAAAAATATACATTTTTAGATTCTTTGACTTTTGACCCCATAATATCCTTAAAAAGGCCTAAATAAGTAAAAATATAAAAGGTGTCTGGGCATATTGGACCAAGGTATAACTCTACCAAGTTTCAAGTTAATTCATCAACAAATGAAGGAATGGTGATTGATTGATTGAAAAGTGCTTGGAAGAAGGAGAAAGAAAGAAGGAAGAAAAAACAACAGAAAAACAGTATGTCTCTCTGAGGAAGCATAATTATACACATGAATGGACTAGAAACCAGTTCTGTATATTATCCATTAAAACCACAGTCAACAAAACCATTAAGAAAAATACATGAGACCTATATTTTGATATTTGCTGAATATTAAACATCTTGAGAACAAATTTATAGGCTAGGAAAACAATTAAAACTTTCAAAATGTATGAAGCATTCTACTTGAGATTTATGGCAAACTATTGTTCTTTACTACAAATAATACATATCAGACATCTATCTGTAACTACAAAAGATTTAATTACTCTGTACAGCTGAATATTAAAAGAACCAGACAGATTGCATGAGAAACAGTAACCCATCCAATATTTTTTCAAATCATTATATATTTCTAATAGTATTTTCCTGCAACAGAAAATGTTAATGTTGACAGTCACAAGTAGAATAGTAACTGTTAACATGAACTATACCTCTGCCTGTGTAAAATTTAATTAATAACACATCATAATCTACAATAGTTGTATGGTTGATTGAAATTACAATTAAAGTTTTTTTTTATATAGTAGCTTTTGTTTTGTTTTTTAAAAAAAGATCAAAACTACCTTTAGAAGATTGAGCAAAGCAGTACAGAGAATAAATGACTCCACCACACCATACACCCCAATACAAGTTCGTTTCAATCCTCCTCATCTTGATATACTATTCCCCTGCAACATCAACAAAGTTATTAACTTTATTAAGTAGTCTTTTATACAGTTGTTTTTAGGTACTTATTTATACTTTTCTATTGTTCTTTTTGAACCTAATATCAAACTGACCATAATAGAAAAACAACAGTAACTAGAACTTCTACTTCTACTTAACACAAATACACACATACATAGTATACATATATATGTGTGTGTGTATTACACACACACATAAAACTTATAATAATTTTAATCTAAATTGTTAAATCTCAATACATTATACACATGAGCCAATTCAAATAAGTTAATCAGATAAATCATTTGATTTTTTTAGCTTGGCTTTACTAGTTGATGGGAATAAGGTCACAAGCAGATACAGAACTTCCAAAAAAGGCCTAAGTTAATGGGTATCAGAGTCTGAGAGGACACTTGCATTCATCTGAGAAGCTAAGATTTTTTAAAATTTGAAATCCAATTCCTTACACTTTCTAGACTTTGCCAGTCACTCCCATCTGTAAATTAGTAATCAAAAATGAGAATGACCAATACTTTATACTATTACTGAGAATATCTTTTCCTTCCTTTGTGGAGCTGACTGTAAGAATCTACCGACAAAAAAGGCATCTTAAGAATCTCTGGTGAGTTTTTAAATCAATCATAATAATTTGGAAGAAAATATCCCTTAAGGCTATCTTCAACATTTTACATATAATAGATGGTTCAGGCCCCTGTTTCCATATAAGAAAATGAGTATAACTGGTCCAAGAAATCACTATAATATTTCTACTAATTGCATCTCCATTTTTCTCTTTATTTCTATTCAATGGTTTACTGTTTCCTTCATTCTTTTTTCATATACACCACACCCCACCACAATTCACTAATGAATGTGAATTTTTTTTTACCTTATTTGATTAGATGAAATAGTTTTTATTCTTTTATAGTAACAAACTGAGGATCTCAGTGAGTTTAATAGCTTCTACTTACATTTCTTAATCTACTTAATGTTGATTGGAGCATAGTACACATAATTACAAATAAATAAAATTACCATGAACTCTACAGAATCTTCCAACTAGTTTTATTTGCTCAATATTTTGGCTGTACACCTTCATTAGGAGTATACATATAATTTCTGTAATGAACTCTTATCACTGAAATTAATATTGCTATATTCTTGAATACAATGGTCTTAATTGAGTTATAGAGTACATTACAAAAATTGTATGCTTATGATGAAGACATAAAGCTTGAATTAATGAGCAAATAAAACAATTTGTAAGATTTCCTGGAGTTTATGGCCATTTTTCTTATTTGTAATTACAAATAGCTTTCTGTCACTCATATATAATTTATAATTCTTATATAATTTAACAGCCATAATGAAAAATAAAACATGACTGTAAATAAAAAAAAAAATTCTAAAAGTGAATTTGGAAAATGATATACTTAAGTTTAAAGTAAATCTCTTAACTAGAAAAAATTTCACCCTCAAATAAAAATTTAAACAACCAAGTTTCATTTCCATAATAATCTCCAGTGCAGATTTATAATTAAATATTAAAAGTTTTATCCATATTTAATTAAGTAAACAGGTTTGATTCTTTAAAGTCACATGTCCTCATCTCAGTTAATATTTAACTTAATAATACATAGATACAAATAACAAAATATTTGATATAACAAAAGTTTACTTTAGATAAAATACATGTTATTACTAGCACACTGCAAAAATTATTGCCCAGACTATAATCATATATACTAATTTTACTATTAATACATTTACTAATACCAGTAATAATAGGGACTGAACAGAATTTATAAAAGAATATGGAAATGTGGCAGTTTAACTTGTCTCCAAGTCTTTTTCAACACTTGACTGATCTACAGCAAGTTGGCAAATCTAATGTTTTAAACCTGAGATCTACATTACTAGATTATAAAATGCTAATAAAATATTAACAAAATTTCAATTTCATTTGTCACAGTCATACGGCGATGATGTTAGTTACTAGCACTACTAATAGTAGTAGGATTATTGTATTTTAAAACATTCGTTCTTTTATAGTTTATTCAGTCCCATGTTTTCCGAGAAAAGTATATGATAGACGATATTCCTATGTTTACTGTTCTGCGAAAAACCCCAAATTAAAGCCAAAAACCAGACAATGTAGTTTTTTTTGTTTTTTAATACAATCAGCCCAGTTTTAATTCTATTGTCTCATGACTCTACTGAATTAGTCAATATGAATTATTATGAGAAATGTAATTGATAGTGATATGACCGCGATTAGCCAGCAAAAGGCGTTTACACCATAAAAATTACTGAAAAATATTTTAATACTTTTATTATTCAGTCGAACTGCACTAACATTACCTTACCTCCTATCCTGTTAAAAACACCTAGTCCAAATTAAAATAATCTTCAACACTCCACGAATATTTCCACATCGTTTACATTCTCTCACGCTCTCTACTCAGTTGTACATACGCCCTCTCAGTTGATCTGCCCTACTAATTAATTTTGCATTGAATTTTCTTACACCAACTTCTGACACTGAAGAGGACAAAAAGCATCAAAAGGTAATGCCATATTCGTATTCCTAAGGTTCCTATCTTACATCTACCTCTTCATAATAACGATAAGTTTAGAAACTTCTAGAAATATTTCGTGTGTTTGGAAACTGAAACATATATGAGTGATATATTTCATGAATTAACAGCGGTTACTGATTAATGAAGTTATTATTTTTACTTAATAATACAACTATTATTAGCTATTTATAGCAGAATGAAGTTATTATATACTTAATGTAAGAATAATAATATATATGTATATATAGCATCACCTAATACAACGTTCCTAGGTCATTACTTCACAATTATTATATATTTAATCCATGATCAAGCTCCTCCAGTGGCTCAGCTTAAAACGCTAAAAACTGGGTTTCGATACTTTATCAAGAAGCAGATTTAAACATAAGATCAAAATATAAGTAATTCCGAAATCTAATCAAGGCCCACTTGCAGGTGATGACAAAATATACATCCTGCATAGTACAGGGGTGTGGTTGCTTTACTTGTGTTTTCAGTTGTGGACTGTCCAAGGCATCTA